ACAGGGATCCTTCAGATCCCTGTAGGGTCCTTGTAGGGATCCAGAGGGATTCTATAGGGTCCCTGTAGGGATCCACAGGGATTCTAGAGGGTCCCTGTAGGGATCCACAGGGAGTCTAGAGGGTCCCTGTAGGGATCCACAGGGAGTCTATAGAGTCCCTGGAGGGAGTCTATAGAGTCCCTGGAGGGATCCACAGGGATTCTATAGAGTCCCTGGAGGGATCCACAGGGATTCTATAGAGTCCCTGGAGGGATCCACAGGGATTCTATAGAGTCCCTGGAGGGATCCACAGGGATTCTATAGAGTCCCTGGAGGGATCCACAGTCTATAGAGATCCCTGGAGTCCCTGGAGGGAGTCTATAGAGTCCCTGGAGGGATCCACAGGGATTCTATAGAGTCCCTGGAGGGATCCACAGGGATTCTATAGAGTCCCTGGAGGGAGTCTATAGAGTCCCTGGAGGGATCCACAGGGATTCTATAGAGTCCCTGGAGGGATCCACAGGGATTCTATAGAGTCCCTGGAGGGATCCACAGGGATTCTATAGAGTCCCTGGAGGGATCCACAGGGATTCTATAGAGTCCCTGGAGGGATCCACAGGATTCTATAGAGTCCCTGGAGGGATCCACAGGGATTCTATAGAGTCCCTGGAGGGATCCACAGGGATTCTATAGAGTCCCTGGAGGGAGTCTATAGAGTCCCTGGAGGGATCCACAGGGATTCTATAGAGTCCCTGGAGGATCCACAGGGATCTATGGAGTCCCTGTAGGGATCCACAGGGATTCTATAGAGTCCCTGGAGGGATCCGCAGGGATTCTATAGAGTCCCTGGAGGGATCCACAGGGACTCTATAGAGTCCCTGGAGGGATCCAGAGACTCCTAGAGGGTCCCGAACGGATTCCAATGGGAATCCGTAGGGAGCGTGTAGGATTCATACAGAATCCCCACAGAATTCATACAGAATTCATAGAATTCAGAATTCGTTGTGTTTGTTGTGTTGTTTCCCCCCACCCCCCCCCCCCCCCCACCCCCCCCCCCCCCCCCCCCCCCCCCCCCCCCCCCTCCGACCTCCACCGGGGGGGCGCGGGCGGCCTCCTCCACTGTGGCGGACGCGGGAAGTGAAGCCCGGACCCGGGGGGGGGACCATGCCGGCCTGTACCTTGTTGTTGTTGTTGTTGTTGTTGTTGTTGTTGAATGAGGACGATTAGACCGGCCCGGGGGGACCCCAGCAACCCCAGCAACCCAGCAACCCCAGCAACCCTTCCGCGGCCGCGGAAGGGGTCCTGGTAGGATCCCATAGGATTCCTGAGGGATCCCTATCGGATTCCTCAGGGATCCCATAGGATTCCTTAGGGATCCCATAGGTTTCCTATGCGATTCCTATAGGATTCCTTAGGGATCCCATAGGATTCCTATACGATTCCTATAGGATTCCTAAGGGATCCCATAGGCTTCCTCAGGGATCCCATAGGATTCCTCAGGGTACCTAAGGGATACCCATAGGATACCCATAGGATCCCAGTAGTAGTAGTAGTAGTAGTAGTAGTAGTAGTAGTAGTGGTAGTAGTAGTAGTAGTAGTAGTAGTAGTAGTAGTAGTGGTAGTAGTAGTAGTAGTGGTGGTCGTAGTAGTAGAAGTAGTAGTAGTAGTAGTAGTAGTAGTAGTAGTAGTAGTAGTAGTCGTAGTAGTAGTAGTAGTAGTAGTAGTAGTAGTAGTAGTAGTAGTAGTAGTAGTAACCGTAGTAGTAGTAGCCCTAATGGAGCTCCTAATCGAGCTCCTAACAGAGCTCGTAGTAGAGCTCCTGGTAGAGCTCGTGGTAGAGCCCCTAGTAGAGCTCGCAGTAGAGATTTTGGCAGACCTCGCTCACACTAGAGCTCCTAATAGAGCACGTAGTAGAGCTCATAGTAGACCTCCTACTCGAGCTACCAGTAGAGCTCCTGGTAGAGCTCGCAGATTAACTCCTCATGGAGCTCGTAGTAGAGCTCGTAGTAGAGCTCCTAAGCGAGCTCCTGGTAGAGCTCCTAACAGGGCTCTTAACAGAGCTCCAAACGGAGCTCCTAATAGAGCTCGTAGTAGAGCTCGTGGTAGAGCTCGTAGTAGAGCTCGTGGTAGAGCTCGTGGTAGAACTCGAAGTAGAGCTCCTCGTAGGGCTCGTAGTAGATCTCGTAGTAGAGCTCGTAGTAGGGCTCGTAGTAGAGCTCTTAATAGAGCTCGTATTAGAGCTCGTGGTAGAGCTCGTATTAGAGCTCGTAGTAGAGCTCCTAATAGTAGTAGAGCTCGTAGTAGAGCTCCTAACAGAGCTTCTAATAGAGCTCCTAGCAGAGCTCCTCATAGAGCTCATAGAGCTCCTCTATGGGATTCCTAAGGGATCCTATAGGATTCCGAAGGGATCCCACAGGGTTCCTAAGGAATCCTATAGGATTCCTAAGGGATCCTATAGGATTCCTAAGGGATCCCATCGGATTCCTAAGGGATCCCATAGGATTCCTAAGGGATCCAATAG